CGAAGGCGCCGCCCTTGCCAAAACCCTCGAAGAATTGGCGCGTGCTCAGGATCCCAGCCACATCGACGCCGACGATAATCTGTCGCAGGAGATCAGAGATGACCTCCGTAGCTCGTTTTCCTATCAGCGCTCTTGAGTTGTCGAATTACCCGCATCATGATGCCGTTTGCGTTCTGTCACGTTGCATTGGGATGTTGTTTGCGCAGTCTTGGTAGCTCTGTAGGCTCGCCAGCTGGCCTGGCAGGCTATGTTTCGTGCAATTCATGCATTGGTGTCTGCACTGCATTGTAAAGGCGCTTGTTTGCCATTGGGATCTAACCTCTCATCTCTTGTTCGCTTTTTGGTTCGCATCATTGCGGGTTTGCCAGAGTGGCGTTGGAGGCGTTTTAGCTACGTTCAAAGCACGATGTGAATGATATATACGCAAGTTTTATACACTTTTGTATGTCTTCAAGTAGTTCGTGTCTTGAGCCTGAACTATCTGACTTCACTACATCGTCCTGGTGTGCTCACATCTAACATCGTACAACATAGCCAGCACATGGTACCTAAGCATCGTTCACGCCACTCTGACAGCGCAGCAGACCCTCATCCATCGAGGTCGAACATCTCCCTCTGGTCCTCTCTCTCTTGCGGATCAGGAAAATTCTCCTTGATCTCTTTCCACATCTCCGTCACAATCTTCTGCCTCTTCTTTGCCACACGAATGCTCTTCTTCCACTCCTTCTCAATCGCTTCTCGCTCTGATGGGGTGACCTTGCAGAGTTAGCACAAACACGCATATACCACTTTGAGTACAATGAACCTACTTTCTTCGCCTTTCCTTTCTTCAGTCCATCAAGTCTAGACTCGATCCGCTCTTTCTCCGTCTCAAGAGTGTTGACATTGGCGACAAGATCTGCCGTGCTGAGCGTGGAGTTGAGACTGGACAAGGAGCCACGGAGATTCTTTGCGGCTGCGACAAGAGTGGTGGTTTGTGTGCGGAGATCGAGAATGGTTTCGTCGAGAGCGGCGAGCTGTTCAGTGGTGCATGCTTCGGCTGCGTTCTACAGGTGGGTCAGATCTGAGCAGATGCTGAGTAAGAGAAAGGATGGAATCATACCTGTAAAGCGTGGTATACGATTTGCTTGCCTGAAATTGTCAATTGATATGAATTGGAGACAGGCTCGGCCAAACTCACCAGCGGCACGCCCCTCAATTGCTTTCTGTTCGTGGAGGTCTTTCAGAATCTTTGCCGCAGACGCTGCCCTGAATCAGTCGTTGTTGGATAAGAGTGAAAGGTCAACGAACCTTTTGTGACCTTGTTGTGTAGATTCGCCGAAACATCGATAGCCGAGTATGGGCGGTTTTGCTTGCCTGCGACCAATTAGTCTTTGAGTACATGGTGCGGTGCGAATATTGAGCTCTCAGATGTGAGGTGAAGTGAGTGACTCACGAAGATACTCCAACACCAGATCTGCGGCCTCGTTGGCTGTGGCCTTCTCTTCTGTTTTCTTGCGAGGTGCCATTTTCTGCTCCGGTAGCGATGGTGAGATAGATTGAAGGAAGAAAAACGCGTCGCTGGATGTGAGATGCGCCTATGTTGGGATGGCGCTAAGTCACGGGCACACTCCGGACGGAAGGAGCCATCCTCGACCCAGGCAGGTGGGGTGAGCATGCTAAGGGCAACTGAAGCAAATGGAATTGAGACTGTGACCATACACATACTCATGTAAATACTTGATTAGTTACTGCAGGCGCAGTGCCAGCCCGTTAATTAGTACTTCAGCCTCCACGTTCACCAAACTGTGTAGCCCAATCCTCAAATTCCTTCAGTCCTTGCTTGCTTACAGACGGTCTGATAGTCTGCAGACTAGCTACAAAGTCCTGATATTGTATCGGTCGTATTTGGTCCATCGTCATGGAAAGTAACTTCTCACCCAGCGAGCGCAAAGGGCCCATTGCAGCGTCTTTCGCGAGCGCCGTTATATCGGAACCCGAGAAACCTAGAAAGAGATTAGCATTGCGATTCAGGTCCTCAATGTTACGACATACCCTCAGTGAGCTTGACCAAACGATCCAGATCGCGGTCACTCAACTCATGTTTCTGGTGGCTCAATAGCGTCTGGACTTGTTGCTTCCGGACCCAATCTTCGGGCAGTGGGATATATTGCCTTCTTACAAACCTTCGTCTTGCTGCTTCATCGATCGCCCACGGCAGATTTGTTGCTGCAAGGACGAGAACCCTAGTTGCATCGCCCCTCTCTTTGTCCTTGTCCGTGACCGCGCTCCCGGCAGCTGCCTTTTGCAGATCGGACCACTGAATAAGGAACTCAGTTTTGATGCGTCGCGATGCTTCGTGCTCGCCGGATCCCGAACGCGACGAGAGGAGTGAGTCGATCTCGTCGACGAAGATGATTGATGGCGCCAGCATCTTTGCAAGCTGGAAAAGGGCGCGAACAAGCTTTTCTGACTCGCCCAGAAACTTCGACGTCAGACTACTAGCTGATATGGCGAAGAAAGTAGACTTTGACTCTGTAGCAACTGCCCTGGCCAACATCGTCTTTCCAGTTCCAGGGGGTCCAAACAAGAGCATGCCGCGTGCAGGTTCTCGCAGACCCATAAACAAGTCAGGCCTCAAGAACGGGTACACTACCGTCTCTTTCAGGGCGGATTTCGCAACTTCAAGTCCTGATACGTCGCTCCAGTGTACCTCATCTCCCTGTATCACGATCTCGTTTAATATCTGCTGTGCTGCTTGCTTATCGACGCCCCGTGGCAAATTCTTCATGATCTCATCCGTTTTGCGCTTCCATTCATCCGTCTCTTCTGGCTCCAGTTCCGCCTCAGAACTATCCGCGCCTGGGGTATCTGGTAGTTCTGCACGCATCGAATTGCCTCTAGCCCTGCCCTTCCGTACTGGAGGTGGCCTCTGCTTGAGCAAATCTCCGTCCTCTTCCAGTGATAAAGACTCAGGTGAGTCCTCCTGCTCTGAACTGCTTCGCGCTTGTGTGTCATTGCTCTTGGGTTTCGGTACAAGTCTCCTTGTCGTCGGATCCCACATCACTCCACCTCGCTCGCCCCCAGTGTCGCCGTACGAATGGGCTGCAGCAGACGCGGCAAGAGATCGAGGGTCCGGTGTGGGCTTGGGATACTCCTTTCGGTAAGATGGTAATGGTGTACTGGGCCCTTGCGCATTGTTCAGTCGACTCAAACCCACAGACTTTCGGGGTATTGCTGGCGCTGCTCGCTCGTTTGTAGCAGGTTTGACCGGCCCCGGATCAGTCTCACCACCAGGTGGTGGAACCGCATATGCGGTTGATGCTGACCCCTCGCCAGCTCTAAAGTAGAACGGTGCTTGTGCAGGCGGCGGTTGTGCTTCGGGTTTCGGAAAATAAGCACTCGGTCTCTCAGCAGCCGGCTTGTCGAGGGACGAGCGGGCGGAGGGTGTAAGAGAACTGGTCGATGGGTTCGGGGCCCCCAATGTCGGCCGAGTGGAGGATGCCGTCGCCTTGACACTCCACGCTTGGGTAGCCGCTTTTGAAGCATCCGGTCGACTTCTCAACGTGTTGGGCAACTTCGCCGAAGATGGCTTGCTCTCTCTCCCAGGTCTCAGTGTCCGTAGCATTCTGCCACTCTTCTCCGGGGATGGTGTACGTGTCTTTTTATCTCCCACTGGTCCTGGGGATAGCGTCGATGCGCTCCGAGTCTGGGTCAAGCTGTTGTCCCGTATGGAGCCAGTACCGGAGCTCTTCCGTGGCGCCATCGCCGGACGGTATGGCAATGCTGGCGGCCTTGAGAGATCTGTGTACTCTATGGGTGGTATAGATCCGGCTCCGAGCCATGATGTAGATGCGCTTGGATCGTTTTGCGATAGGGGCACGCCGTGGGGTGGTGGTGTGGGTGCATCGTTGTCTGACGAGAGCGAGGCAAGGCTCTCTTTCGACTCCTTGCGACTCTTTTTCAGCGCCTCCAACAGATCCACGCGCTCTTTACATTGCAGCTCCAACTGGCGTAGCGATTCGATCAGTGCCCTCTCTGTTTCGGACGCGGGGCGGTAGGTCGAGGGGTTGCGACGGGCGTTGTGGTAGTAGATGTGGTCAAGGGCGGTTTTCCATGATCGCAGCGCTTCTTTCTCGTTGTTCTAGATGCCTCTCTGTCAGTGATGCTGGGCACATGCGACACTTGGCGGGTGGTTGGGCACTGACCTGGCCCTCAAAGTAGACCGCAGTCGAGCAGGCTAGGAAAGCCTCGTCGTAGGCTTTCTGCGTCGTGTTGGCGCGCATAGCGGAAAACATGTATATGATGCGCCCAATTCACGCGGGGGGTGGCGTGGAGGACGGAATAGGTGTCTCGCGTCCAGTCTCGGGCTCGTGTTTGTAGATTCGTCGCCGGTCTTAGTTCGCGCGGGTGTGTGACGTAGGTAGCTGCGTTTCGCAACCGCGAAGGCTGAGCAGCGACGACCATGGAAGACGACTTGGTCCTCACGCATCCATGCATCCTCTACGCAACTGGGCACGCTCTCTCTCGCGCTATTACATCAGATCACAAGGTAATACTGTCAACCCAGGATACGCGTGCTCACACAGCCACGGGGAAGGCGCATGTGCAAGTGGGGCTGCTCTTCGCGCCCGGCTGTTATCGATTACGCACCTTGTTTGGGCTGAAGAGCGAAAATGTTCTTGGGTCTTGAGTGACGCCGACACTGAATTTGCTATATGATACAAGAATGCGCATGCCGTCGTGTGCTCGCATAACCAAGCATCCAGTACGCCGCCAGATCGGCTTCCACAAAAGCCTCTATGACTATACAATGGCAGTGAAGAAGCGTCGCGACGCAGCCCTATGCTCCTCCAGCGCGCCACACAATGCTAGACCTTGCCTTGGATGCCCAATACTGCCATGGTCGCTACTCTCCGCGACACTGCGTGTATATCGTTCCGTGGGTAATGCGCATATCGCGGAATCAGAGGGCTCTCGTAATGGTTCAAAAGAAGATCAGTCAAATAGTTGTCTCTCTGTTATATGGCCGTTGATGAGTTGGTGCTCCTCCGGATGAAGAAAGCCTTGGCCATCTCGTATGCGGACCTATGCAGTGTCAGATCAATACCGGTTGCGGTGTCCAAGCTCAAAACTTACCAGCAAATTGCCGTGCTTGGCATGGTGGTGATGATTCGGGGTTTCAGACCACGGAAGTATCCCCTGTATCCTTCCCTTTGATGGATAATTTTGGCTGCCTGGATTAGGCCGGAGACATTCTTCAATTCTGCGTCTCGAGCATTGCCGCGTGTTTGTAATAGCGTCTTGATGACATCGAGGGGAGTTGTGAGCCCCGCTGCAAATCCTCCGGCGATACCTCCGGCGAAGCAGTGCGTATAGGGGTCGTAGCGGCCGGTCGGGTTCATGACCTTGGACATCGATTCGTAGGCCATGAATTGGAGTGCGGTGAATGGCACCGTCATACACAGTGTAGTGGGGTATGAGACGTAGAATGCGCCCACGCCCTCAGTGCGGAGAACCTCTCGGGCGCATTGGGGAACGGACTTGTAGATGGAACCGTGCATTTGCATGCGTTGTTTTATGACTGCGAGATTCAGTAGGCGCGGAGCGAGGTCGTGGTGCGCGTCTTACCGTCAAAGGGGTTCATCAGCGCATCACTGGAGATGGTGGCCGCGGCACCGCTAGCAGCTGTTGATGATCAGTAGCTGCTCCCGCATTGGTGTGGTCGTGGTATTGCGCACCTGCCGCGAGAGGATGATGCTCGTGGCTCTCTCCTTCATTGCCTCCCAGGGCGTGCTTCGTAGCTTCGTACGATGCAAAGTAGACAGCGTGCGCGGGACCTGCATTCTGTCAGTTTTCCTTGCCGGTCTTGCTCGCCTGGCACTACCCACCTGCGCCCATTACCACGCTCGACAGTCCCCTCCACAGTGACCAGAAGCCCTCCGCTCTAGATATAGTGACCATGGCGTTCGAGATACCGCTGTACATGGCGCTCGGCGACGGGTTGACGATCTGCATGCGGGTCTGTCCGGAGTCAGCGCGCTGTCGGCAGTGCATGGAGAGCTTGGTGGGAAGCTGCGTACCTTGAGCAAGTCGACGGGGTACATCACCGAGTGTTCCTATCGTCGGGTCAGTCGGGATATATACACGGCGGCGACCTCGGAGACGTACCGCAACACCTGCGAATGCGCCCGCAAGCATGTTGGCGGTGAGGGAGAAGTTGGGCGGGAGCGCTTCATAACTGCGCGCAAGTCAGCGACGGGTGTATCTCATGTGCGGCAGTGCAATGGAGCTGTACTCGTGTTCTTCTTCGATAGGAACTGATGGCCGATCATTGGGGGCCATAAGTCGGCCGGCTACTGGCGCCGCGGATTCCAGGTTTGCGACTTGAGAGGGTTTTTGTTTTTGGGGTGGACGTAGAGCCTCCGCGCGTCGATGCAGAGGGGCGACTGTGGTGAGTGGGCAATGGTCTGAAATTGAAGTTGTTACTTTTGTTTGCAACTAACGGAAGCGCGAGATGACTTCAGCCGAACGCCGAGACGTCAGACCTAAATTCCGCCCGCGACTGGGTACTCTCGCTGAGTCGCTGCTATCTGCCCTTTGCGTACCCATGCCTCCACCAGCGATGCCGGAGCTTCCATGGCAAACCTGCGCATGCGCATCCCACTTGGTATGCCAGCGAAGTTTTCATCCTGAGGCTGTTTGCCATGGCGCACGGCACATTTTCGCGACGCCCTACCCAAATGCCCCGTAAATCGGTGACAGGTGCCCGCGGAGATCAAGTACATCATCAACGCGATAGCTAGACTCGGCCAAGGTGCCTCGGATGTGGGAGGGGGAAGGTGCTTGGTATATCTTATCTGATCATCTCCGCCCGCACCTCGAGCCCGCCACACACGTCTGGTCCGCTGCCACTCGTCTACACGTTGTTCGCAAAGCTTGAATTTGCTCACGATACCCCGCAAAGTCGGCAAGTCTCGATTAGCGCATCCAGACTCGCATGCTGAATAATGTCCGATCTTGGGATGGTTTGCATAGTGCATGCCCGAGCTTAACCTGCAAAGCTCGCTAGGTGCACTGAGCACAGTGTTTGATAACAAATGGACAACCGGCGAACTTTCGTCTCCACGCCGCCTTGCAAGCTGAATAATAGGGCAAGTCTACACACGGAAATTTGGACATCCGGAGCCATTTCTCGTAGATAGCTCACGGTGCCTTGGTCCGAGGCTATCCCATCCAGATTCGAGCAGAATGAGCAGCTATCGTACAGCCGGCTGCTGATCGTACAAGTACAATGAACGCGCGGTCTTCATGTGCTGCAACAAGCAATGCTATCCAGCCCCTCTGCCATGCCACGTTACGAGATGCCACGTCCGTGACCAGCTGGCGATGCCGTGATCCGGGATACCAGAGGTCCTTATATCTTGTTTGCGCATCAACACTCGCACCGCTTGTACCACCGGGGAAAGCTGACTACGTCCCTGATGTTAGATACACCAGCGAGGTAGCACAGGAGTCGATCGAACCCTAGACCAAAGCCTCCATGCGGTACACTGCCGTATCGGCGGAGATCCACATACCACTGCAGGGAGCCGTCTGATGCGTCGGTAGTGCTATCCGGCGCTTGTTGAAGACCGTGTTCGTCCATGGATTGCAAGAGTTCTGCTAGTCGATGTTCACGCATAGAGCCCCCGACCAGTTCACAGATCTCAGGTACAAGGAGATCGAAGCATGCGACGGTCGAGGTGGCCGGGTTGTCAGCTGTCGGGTCATTTGACGGCGCCATGTAAAAAGGCTTGATGTTACGTGGATAATCAGTGATGAATACGGGTCCACCGCGTCCCAAGCTCTCAGCCAAGAATCGTTCGTGCTCGGTCTGGAGACCATCTTCATGACCAGGTGCATACTCAAAATCCGCCTTGCCCTGAGCCACTGCGTCTTTAAGGTGTTGTATTGCGGCCGCATAGGTGGTTCGAGGCCATGGCCCCGCTACCAGCCCTTGCCACCGTTGTGCGAGGACAGTGTGCGACACGGATGTGCTCTCTTGGTCCTGGTCTCGTGCTCGTGCCTCGAGAAGTTCTTGACCTACAACCGACTCTTGTAATTTCAACGCAACGGAACGCAGCATATTTTCCACAACATCCATGACGACATTCACATCCTCTGTGAAAGCTAATTCTGCTTCCAGCATGTAGAACTCGCTAAGATGACGGGCTGTATCACTCTTCTCGGCTCGGAATGTTGGAGACAAGGCCCAGACCTTGTTTACTGACTGAGCTAAAGCCTCTAGGTGAAGCTGACTGGAGACCGTCAGATACTTGGGGGAACCGAAAAACATGTCTTCTTGCTTTTTGACCTGATTCGAGGAGCTTTTGTCTGCTGAAGAAGGTGCTCCAGGCGCCACAGTGAACACCTCTCCTGCGCCCTCGCAATCGGAGGAGGTGATGATTGGTGGATGGCACTGAATGAAGTCATGTTCCGCAAAGTAGTTGGTCACTTGTGCAGTGACTAGCGATCTCAGCCGCAAGAGAAGCGAGTTAATTGGTAGTCGACTTCGGAGATGTGGGAGTGTGCGCAAAAATTCGGGCGTTTGGTATTTCTTCTGGATTGGGTAGGTCTGGAATTAAGATTCAGATCAGACATCGGGCAGGACTCCGAGGCTCACTCATGTTGACTTACTGTGGCATCATTCTCTCCCAATATTCGCACGTGGTTGACTTGAAGTTCATGGGATTGGCCTTGGCCTGGTGAGGGTGTCCACTTTCCCGTGACTGTCACTGCAGTGCCCGTGGAGAGTCTGATAGTACAGCATGTCAGTACTTACAGAGTGTTCTAAAGGGAGTTACTGACCCTTCTGCTAGTTGAGGAGGCAGGACGGCCTGGACTGTTTGCAAAGTCGAGCCGTCGCCTATAGCAGCGAATGCGATGCGTTTTTGCTTGCGCACCGTCCGTACATAGCCGTTTATCGTTAGTGCCTCGTTGTCCTGTGCACTCTGCTGAGACGAACTGGCCGATTGAGTTGGCCTTAGCAGCTCAGCAATAGTGTTTGGACAGAAGGTGGAACTGCAGCGGGGACGGCATAGTGATAGTGCATGTGCGCAAGGTAGAGCGGTTCCCCGGTTTCGGAATAGGTGCTGGGGACGGACAACGCTCCTCCGAACAGGCAGGAGCCAATTCATTTACGCGTCGGCAAATTTCGATCGGCCAGGAGCTGCGCAGTGTAGCATAGAAACAGCACTCTCTATCACACGTGCGGGTTGATGTCTGCGAAACCTTGGAAAAAAACGAAGGACGCTTGGACCTTACGCTAGGATCGCGAAGGCCTCGCCCGTGCCGTTCCTGTGGCTCGTTGATCTCGACTGTAACACTTCAGCCATGGCTGAAACATTATGTGCTGCAAGGACCGACCATGTCCTTTCACGAGATTTGAGGCCCATGAGCATAGCGCCGATGGCCTTAGGAGCCTGTGGTCTTGGTGTTCTTCTTGGTCGTTCCCTTGACCATCATTGGGTGGGTCAGCTTCCTCCTCCCCTCCACCGCCAGTAAGCACACCAAGGGCCTGTTTAGTGATTGTCGTACAAATATTAATATAGAAAAAATATAATTAAACCCTAAAACATAATTTATTAGTATTCTACTGCCTTTATATCTTTTTATATAATAATTAAGAAACAAGTTTATAGAACAAATATTCTACTACTATAGCTTAATAGAATATTTAGCGCATCTTACTACTATAGCTTAATAGAATATTTAGTGTATCTTACTACTATAGTATAATAGAATATTTATAGTACATTCTACTACTATAGTATTTATAGTATACTTAAAGCATTCTACTACTATAGTATAATAGAATATCTAGTGTATTTTACTACTACAGTATTTGTAGTATACGTAAAGCATTCTACTACTATAGTATAATAAGAGTATTCTACTACTACTTACCTATTCTAAGTTTATAAGTATTCTACTACTACTTACCTACTTTAAGTTTATAAGTATTCTACTACTATAGTATAATAAAAGTATTCTACTACTACTTACCTATTCTAAGTTTATAAGTATTCTACTACTACTTACTTATTCTAAGTTTATAAGCATTCTACTACTATAGTATAATAAAAGTATTCTACTACTATAGTATAATAAGAGTATTCTACTACTATAGTATAATAAAAGTATTCTACTGCTATAGTATAATAAAAGTATTCTACTACTACTTACCTATTCTAAGTTTATAAGTATTCTACTACTATAGTATAATAAAAGTATTCTACTACTACTTATAAGCCTAAGCCTTCTTATATTCTACTACTACTTACCTATTCTAAGTTTATAAGTATTCTACTACTACTTACCTACTCTAAGTTTATAAGTATTCTACTACTACTTATAAGCTCTTAAGGCTTTTATATATTATACTACTATAGACTTATTATAAGTAAAAAAAAGATAGTAATAAGTAAGACTTAAACTTAAATATAAAAAAAAATAGTAACTTTGTATATAAGAAATTACCTACCTAGTAGTTAAGTAAGTATCTTAGTTAAGAGCTAGAGGTTACTAGACTAGTAAAAAACTAATATACTAAATAGTAGTACTATATTAGGCTATTATTAATAGAGAATAATTAGATTTAAGGCTTTATATAGTACGTAAGTATAAGAAAGCTAGTAAAAATATAAAGTTATAATAAGTAGAAACTCTATATTAGTAGCTGTAACGCTAGCTTTACTAGTATAGTAATATAGTATATAGGTGTAGAAGGTAGATAATTAATAGAGGGTAAGAAGTAATAAGTAATAAGTAATAAGTAATAAATATATCTTTTTTAAAACTATAATCTTACTTATAGCTATTAAAACTTTAGTTTATAGTAATTCTATATTATATAATACTTTCTATATTAATAATAATAATAGCAGTAACTACCTTAAAATATCTACTTCTAACTCTTTTCTATTTAGCCTTTTATTTAGCGCTTTACATACTATAATTTTAGTACTACTACTATAATTTATTATATAGTAGTAATAGTAGTAATAGTAATAAAATAAGCTTTACTAAGGTAAGTTAAGGTTTAGTATAGTTTAAAAGCGTAGGTAAGTATAGCACTATTATTATTAGAGTTAGTAACTATATACTAATAGTAATATAGCCTACTTTAGAACTTTACTTAGTATACTTAGCGTATAGTAGCTATACTACTATTAATAATTACGCCTGCGCCTACGCCTATATCTATACTTATTATTTCTACTTCTATCTCTTCTACGTCTTTAGCGTATAATAATAATAATAATAATAATAAGAAAATAGAAGTTGCGCTAAGCTAAGTAGTAATTCTACTTACTCTTATAAGTAACCTTACGTAGTAGTAGTAAGAGTATAGTAGTAGAAGTTAAGTAGGTAGATAAGTAATAATAGATATAAAATAGCTTACTCTTTTTTTTTCTCTATAAAGTATAAGTAAGTAGTACTTATATAGTACTACTACTATAATGTATAGACATTTACTAGCTTTAGAGCGTTTAGCTTCTATATTCTATTCTAGCTATTTAGAGTACTACTTAAAGAAATAACTTAAGTATTAGATTAAAGTAGTGTTATAGATTAGAGTTTAAATACTAACTATAGTAAAAGAGTAGAGTTTAGTTAGTTAGAATTAAAGTTCTTACTATATACTTCTTTCTATATATACTATCTTATACTCTTACTACTTTCTAAACTTCTACTAGTAATTATTAATAGATAAGCTACTAGCTATATTCTAGAAAGAGAAATATAAGGCTAGTAGTCTTTTACTTCTTACTAATAGTAAAGAATTAGAGAAGCTAGATAACTAACTTAGAGTCTTTAGTAGAAGAGTTAGGTAAGAGAGGTATAGTATTAGGCTTCTCTACTTCTTACTAATAGAGAAGAATTAGATAAGCTAAGCTCTTTAGGCTAGCTTTTAATAAAGTATTAAATATAGTTTTAACTTTAATAAAAGCTATAGGCTAACTAAAGTATAATAGTATAGAAACTACTAGCCTAGACGTCTAGCTACTTTAGTATATAGTAGACGTTACTAGTAGTAACCTTTAAGTGCTAAGAGCTATTATAGCTAATAAGAAAGCTAGTAATATATTTAAAGTAGTACGCCTTTATAGATATATAGTACTTAAAGACTACTATCTAGAAGTTATATTCTTAGTATAGAGTTATAGAAGTATAAAGCACCTCTATAGTAGCTAGAGTAGTAGTAGTTCTAGAGGTAAGCCTAAGTTAAGACTATTAGCGTTAGTGTAGAGTTATAGAAGTATAAGACACTCTATAGTAGCTAAAGTAGTAGTAGTTCTAGAAGTAAGCCTAAGTTAACTTATTACTAGCTTCTTAAAGGCTTTAATACTATTATTAGTAATTATCTTATAGAAGTATAAAGCACCTTTATAGTAGTTCTAGAGGCAAGTCTAAGTTAACTTATTACTAGCTTCTTAAAGGCTTTAATACTATTATTAGTAATTATCTTATAAGTTAATAATAGTACTAATAACACTTTTACTAGAGAAAGTAGTAATAATAGAGTACTTATCTAATTTAGTAGTAGTGCCTTAGTATGCTACGTTTCTTATAGCTCTCTTGCTAAGAATATAGTATTTAGTATTAGTAATCTTAACTAGAGAGTAGTTAATTATAGAATATATAGTTTCTATAGAAGTATATATATTAAAGTTAGGTAGTATAGGCTTAAAAGAGGCCTAGAGGCTTATAGCTAGCGTGCTTAATAATAGCTTTATATAGTCTATAGTTATTTATAAAACACTAGTTATAGTAGATATATATAGTAAGGTTAATAATTATAAGAGAGTTAGTAATAAAAAAAAAGTAGTTAATAATAGCTTTAGCGGCGCAGTGTACAGGCTTAAGAGGCCTAGAGGCTTATAGCTAGTATTATTAATAATAATAATTATAAAAAAGTTAGTAATAAAGAGAAAGTAGTTAATAATAGCTTTAGTAGCGTAGCGTATAGACTTAAAAGGCTTAGAGACTTATAGCTAGCGTTGTTAATAATAATAATTATCTAGAAGTTACGTTCTTAGTGTAGAGATATAGAGGTAGAAGGTATCTTAGTAGTAGTAGTTCTAGAGGTAAGCTAGAGTTAAGGCTGTTTAAGAGCCTATAAAGTAGAAAGCGTAGTAAACTTAATAATATAATCTTTAATAACTCTACTAATACTAGTTATAGGTAGAAGCTAAATAATTAAGAATATAAGTATAGCTAGTTAGACTTTCTTCTTCTATATAAGACTATTAACCTAGATATAGAATCTAAGCTTTAGGTACTATATATTATTATTATAGTTTAAATACTATTAGTATATAATAATAGAGATATAGACGTATAGAACTTATATCTAGCTAGCTAGAGAGAAGTAGAGTAATAGTAGAGATCTTAAGGCTAGAGATCTTAACTTAAAGATTCTTATAAGTATAAGTTTTTATAGCTTTCTTCTTCTAGTTACTACTAATAATCTTAGTTTTAAAAGTCTTCTAGTTCTATAGACTAGTGTTAAGAAATTTAAAGGTCTTCTAGTGCTACTAATAATCTTAGTTTTAAAGGTCTTCTAGTTCTATAAACTAGTATTAAGAAATTTAAAGATCTTCTAGTGCTACTAATAATTTTAGTTTTAAAGGTCTTCTAG